CAAATTTAGTTGAAATTTGGGTGATGGAATTGAAGCTAGGGCATTTGAGTGCTGTCACTTCTTCCTCACTAGAGTCGTGAGGTAGACTTTATCCTAAAAATTCTTTAATTATTCTAAATCTAAAGAATTTATAAGAGCATTGTCAATTTTTTAAGGATCAGTCGTTATCACGTGCGTTGTACGAATTTTGTATTTATCGTATTTTTATTAGTATGTAAATTTTAATTATTTTGAAAAGTTTTTGAAATAATATTTAAAAATATTTTCATGATATAAGAAAATAATTGCAATATTATAAAATTGAAAAAAAACTCTTCGCACAGTGTGAATAGAGTTGTAACAAGTGCGGAGTAAAAATAAAAAATGTAGGGAAAGAAAAAAATCTCCGCGTAGCTCGGAGAGTTGGCAAACTCTTCGCATAGTGCGGATAGATGACAAACCAACTCTCCGTACAGTACGGAGAGCAAAAAAAAAAAATTATCCAGAGAGTTGGTCCGACCATGACAAAACTCTCTGCACAGTGCGGAGAGAAAAATACATTTTCTTACAGTGTGTAGAGAGTTGAATCATGTGCGGAGTAAAAAAAAGTGCGGAGAGAAAAAATTCTCTCTGCACAGTGCGGAAAGAGTTGAACCATGTGCGAAGAGTTGGCAAACTCTTCGCACGGTGCGGAGTAAAAAAAAAAACTCTCCGTACAGTGTAGAAAAATGACAAACCAACTCTCCGCGCCAGGAATTAAAGTGTTCAATGCATTGTTCAAAAGTTATTTGAGAAAAGACCTCTTGGAACTTGTAGATCCTGAGAGTTTTTGTTTTTCTCTTTACACTGTGCAGAGATATAGTTTGTCATTTTTTCGCTCTTTGCAGAGTCGTTTTTTTTTTTGCTCATGTGTAAATTATTGCTTGCATTGGTTAGTACGTAGAGAGGGAACTGAATCACATTTACTCTAATTATGATAGCACCACACGAGCTTTTGAGATTTTTTTTTTTTTTTTTTAGAGTTTATATATATTAAATTTTTTTTTTAATGTTGTTGGTATGATATGTATATGGAAGAATATTTGTCGATCACCATAAACAAAATTCTTCACAAAATACAAAAAATAAAAATACATAATAAATCTTATTATTACGCTAATAAAATTACAATAAATTTTTTTTTACAAATAACATAAAAAATTATTTTTATCTTCAACAAAAAAACACATTTAAAAATTAGCAATTTCATAGTGACTTTCTTTTTTTTTAATTCTCGAAAATACAATTATAAAAAATGAAATAATATTGAATTACAACATTTAATAATTAAGATATTCAATATTAAATAAATTTTATACATCTATAACAAATTATAAATCCATATATGCATCTTACCGTATTTGCAGGAAGTTTACCGTATATACAACTTACCATATATTTTGCATACTGTATTTTCAGTTTATCGTATTAGCAGCCTACCGTATTTGCAAACAACTTACCGTATATGCTGCCTATCGTATTTGCAGCCTACCGTATTTGTAAAACAACTTATCGTATTTTCACTTTATCGTATTTGCAGCTTACCGTATATGCTGCCTACCGTATTTACAATTTACCGTATATGCTGT